TTGCGATTCTTGCTTGGGATTTGAGGCACTTTTCACCCTCTCAGAGGCTGGGACGCACCATCAGTTGAGAATGATTTACGCACCTGTAGGAGTGCCCATGGAAAAGTTTTGCCCGCAAGGGGACAACAGCTGGTGAGATTTTTCACCACTATAGATAGCATGCAGATAAAGACACTAATCAAATACTATTTGTTACTCAGCTCAGTCGTGTCTCATTTCCAGAGACCTCAACGTCTTTTAATCAGAGACGTGACTCTGTCGCAGGTGAAAAAAAAATGAAATTTACATAAAATTCGGCTCCACTTAAATATCGCTCTACTTTCATGTCATGCAAAATTGCTTGTTCACAAATTTATCAGACAAACTATTTGTTTGCCCCAAATTGACCCCAAAGTTGGTATTTTGTAAACTTAATGAGAGAAGAAACACTCCCACTGAATGGAGAAACCTCATTGCCCTCTTGATCCAACATCTATTTCTCTTCTTCCATCCTAATCTCGGCATCTCTGTGGCATTTGGAGGAACTCTCATTCCCTGCACTTTGCAGCCCCTCGAGAGAGATCATGTGAATCTCCCTTGTTAGGGGTGCACTTTCCCCCTCACGGCTCAGACTCAATTTCCACCCGCGAGGGAGACAAATGGGTCAACTTTTCCGACAAGTTCGCTAATCTTCTCATTGGAAATTCATTACGATGAGGCCTCATGGCGGAGATTTATGGGCCTGCATGTGGGAAGGTGATATTTCCGTGAAATGGACTAAAAAAGAATCAATTTGCATGGGAGTTCAGCCGAGAGTGGCATTTACCGCACGATTTTGATGGCTAGTTGCTCCGAAAAGTGCTTTCTGAGGTTGCTCTCGTTGATAAGGAGGGGCACCACATTAAAGGCTGCGCGAGGAGATTCGCTATGATAATTTTTCAGGTCAGCATAAATCAATGTGACGGCTCGGGCTTGATTTGGTTTCAACGGGGCGGAGGGGGAGAGAAGAAGGCAGAAGCCAAGGAGTGATTGGATGATTGGGAAGTGCAGAAAAAAGCGCACGTTAATTTGCTATTAAAATTCAAAAAATGAGAAGAAAACACACGTCCATCGTCGCTTCGAGCAATTACCATCGTTTTGACATGATTTTCTTGTCCATATAGTGGAATTTTCAGTGCGATTCCGCGAGAATGTCTTGGGCATTCTTCCTCGTACTTGGCAACGGTCCTGCATTTTGGTCATCACATAATTGTCCAATGAGGAGAAATTTGTACATCATCCGAAAGTTCTCCACCTCCGAAAAAAAAATGCAGCACGACAAGCCCGAAAGCTCTTTCGCTGCATCCTCTTGCAAGATATTTTTCGCTCAACAACAGCAATTATGCTAATGACACGTGCAATTATACTTTTAGAGGCTTGAACATGGGACTTTTCGATGATGGAGGGTTTTTCTGCGTGATTTTCAAGAGCACAATGCCGATGTTTTTGCCCCCATGCCCGGCACTTGTACCCTTGCCCATGAAAATGAAGCAATTTCCAGCAATCGTTGCGCAATTAAATCCCTCTTACTCTGCTCAAATATTCAAATTAGCACATAATTGGAATGAAATAAAGGAGGAAAAGAAGCAACAAAAATATGTATATATATATATATGTGGAAAAAAGTGCACGGGCTTTTTCATCGGAGCGCTTTTCTTTACTCCTTTGGCAAATGAAATGAAAAGGAATTGAAATAGTTTATTTGAAATGTGATTTAATACAGCATTTTTTGTTACTTATGGTTTGTTCTCTTGCATCCCAACTCTTTGAGCACTTACGATCTGGAAAAGAACAAACGGGAAAACAATTTTTATTTTTCATCTGCTATGTATGCTCTTTTCTGTGTGCATATGGAAAATTTGTCTCTTGAGGGGGTTACTGAACATGATGGCCGATAGCTGAGGGGTTGACAACTCTATATACGGATGAAGTGCATTCATTTGTAGATGGAAAAATTTTTTAAAGAAATTATCTGCTCTGCAGACACGCGATCTGATTTTATACTTTTAGATTTCGCTTAAGTTAATTAAATAGCAAATTAAATGAAAACATAATTCATTGTAATTGTGTTAACACTCGTGGTGTGAAAAGGCATTCATTCGTAAAGCATGAGAACTTTTCCGATCGCCGTGAAGGCATTAACTTTCGCCATTTGTCCACCCCGTGACAGAAATAGACTCACTCTTTCCGTTTGAGGTGACAAGTACTGTGATTTTGTCGTGCCCCCAGAGAATTAATGGCATTTGGAGGTAATTTTTAATCGCTGAAAATTGCGATCAGAAAGCCACTTGCAGGTTACAAGACATAAAAATGCGGAGTAAAGTAAATGTTTAAACAATTAATCTCACGTAGGAAGTCTAGAGTGGAGAATAATGTGCACTTTGAGGAGTTTAATTCACGAATTAATACATAATTTAATATTGCCTTTGATTAATTGGCTCACAGGCAGCATGTTAAGAGTCCACGAACGACGGAGAAAGAACGGCAAGACAGAGATAGTGGAGGTGAATGATGAATTTACCTGGCTTTTATCGTGTCAAGTATTAAAGGAGATTGAAATTCGCGTGCAGCGAGTTCATGTATTTCCCCATGTTCTGCGGGCACAAGTGGAGGGAAAAAAGGTAGCACATATTTGAAAATATTCGCTCTCCCAAAAGGAGATCCCCATAGATAGACACTCATTAGCGTGAGCTTGAAATCCAGCCACGTTTGATCGATTTTCCTGCGAGGGGTTAACCTCTTGGCCAAGTTCACCCCTCGGGGCCCCATTCAGAGGCGGAGGTGCCCTGAGGATGTGGGCAAATTGCGTATGCATGAAGATGACCAAAGAGCAATTCAAATTGGAGCGCCGCTGAAACTCGCGATTCCCTATTCATCATATTTAAATTGTATGTGAACTTGAAATGATATAAAGCGACAAAAATATGTGAGTGACTCGTACGCACAGAGTGGCTTTGCCTATAGACGGAGGATTCGGGATTTTTGGGAAAGAAGAAAGCTGTCAGTGACTTGTTGGGATTTCTCGAAATTCTATTCTACCGCTCAACTCTGCACAGATGGATTTACTTCCAGTGTGTATATGAAAATGAGGAGAGAAGAATATCTGGGCTTCACTATACTGCATCGATGCATATGTATGACGCATTTAAAATATTCATTGGGAATGCATTGATGGCAAATTCAGTATTGAGTTGCCTCACATTCAAAATATTATATATTGTCTTCGGCAGCGCGTATTCCTTCTATGCCATTTTTTTTCGAGCCCGAGCAATGCTGTGTGTCTTCAATTGTATCATATGTATTCATAAGCAGCAGTGAATTTCTTTACGCACTTCTCACGAGGAAGAATCTCAATCACCTCGCTATTTTAAATACATTAAAACACAATTCGACATGCCAAAGACGTCAGTTGAGATGGGATGATGTAAAGAAATCTCGGGATTGCAATGGAGAAGCGAGGGAATATTTCCTGAATCAGAAAATCCAAATGTGCGAGAAAGAGAAGGAGAGAGAGATGGAAATCAAACAATAAACTCAGAGATTGTTTCCATGAGGAGTGAAGCATTTAAGAGCATGGTTTAGAGAGCACTATTGCGAGTGATTATAAATTGAATATTTAGCCTGCGTGTGAGAATTAATTTGTCTGATTTATTGAAACAATTATGTGGCTCTTTTATCTTCACGGTGAGGAATGAGTGGAACTTTTAATGATATACATGGAGCTTTCAAATGTGCAAAATTGTCTGCAATTTCCCAGCCAGTCTATCGTCTCCTCACCATCTGTGCCAATGAAAAGCACTCCACTTGATGGCTCACCCAACAATTCAGGCGCGAGGGGGTAATTATTGGAATTTTTCTACAAATAAACATCCTCCGGAATTGACTCACTGATCTAATGAGGGAAAAACTTGAGCCGCGCGAGAGTGAAGGAAAATTCTCAGTGATTGAGAAATTGTGGCGATAATCCACGAGGCGTGTGTGGTTTAGATACTTTCCTCATGTCTTAATGAGTCAAAATTTTCATCTGGCATCGGGGATCGCGCGTGATTTTCTCGCACCTTCACCTCAACCCCGTTGATGGTCCGTGTATTTGCGTGAGTGATAGACAAGCAACACACTCTCTCAGCCCGTTGAGGAATTCTCCAATGAGACTTGAGTGAGTGTTTAACTATTTTGACACGATTATGCCTCATTTGAGAGCCCCCTTCGCCTCTTGGAATACCATCTGTAATGCGAGAAATCACCGACTGTTGCCCAGGAAGTGTTTATTTTCGCGCAATATTGTTTATAGTTGTTTCAAGTGCGATATTGTCGGTGAAGTAAAATAAACATCGCGGCGTGTGGTGGTGAAAATGAGCACTGCAATTCACCTAATTTGCCTCAAATATTGTCTTCGGTGTTGACAAGTGATTTCACGATGATTGAGAATCAACGCCGAGGAATTAACATCATGAAGTGACCTGATGATTGAGGCTATTTTGCCACCCGTGAAAAGACAACAGAACGTGAAGGAGTAGAGCTCTTCTGAGAGGGTCTTTCAGAAATTGGATCGTCTCTAAGTACATCTTATAGTTTAAGAATTCAGGAGCAGTAACTTCAAAAAGAGTGTAAATGAATGAACAGATAAAACCAGATATAGAGGATTATGCACATGAATTCAGTACAGCGAGAAAATAAATAAATTTTCATAAAATTACATTTCTTTTGAGGTTTCACGTTGATTTGACGATTAAGATTACATTTGGATCCAGGAAACTATAGAACTGATTTAAATAACAGTTTCATGATTTTCTAGTGACCGTATCAATTCTTCTTATAGCAAAATTCCGAAAATTATCCTGGAAATAAAAAGCTGACGAAAAACTAACCATCGCTTTTCATATTCCATTTTATTCTGGACATTTCGCAAAAACTACTTGAATCAACAAAGGCTTCTGAAGTTACTGTCCCTGATCCTTGGCTTTAAGAAAGGTTATACTCACTTTGGCCTAGGTGGACCCTCTTCATCCATGGGTAGATCTGCGGCGGGCCTGAGCCTTTCTTCGAGGAATTGCTCTGATTGCCCCCGCTGTTGCCTCCCTCGTTGCCGCTCTCACTCGAGGTGTCCGAGTCACCGCCGTTGGGGCTGTGCAGGGGCACACTGGTGGTGTGGTTGGCCCCCAGACCGCCCGCGGGGTGGTTTGTTGTGGCGTTCGTCGAGGACACCGTCGAGCTCTTGCTGAGCGATCGCGCCACGTTCTCCACGACCGTGCTCGGAGACAGCTTGGGCGAAATATCCCGGGCCGTGGAGAGGTCCTGCGGGCTGGAGATGGAGGTGCTGTTGGTCACGCTGGCGTTGCCGGACTCCTGGGCGGCGTACTTGCAGCTGCCCGCGCTGAGATTCTGCTGCGGCGTCTGTTGGCTCTGCTGCGGCTGGTTGGGCAAGAGGAGTCGCTGCGGCTGGAGCTGTGTGTAGTCCACCATGTCACCACTCTGGGCTTGCTGGCCGCCCAGGTAGTTCTGGTTGTAGTGCGCCTGGGGTGTGCCCGGGTACAGATTGGGTGTGTACGATCCGGAGAAGTACTCCTGGCCAGGCTGGCTAGCAGCCGAACTGGCCGTTGTAGCGGTGCCGTTGCCCTGGTGGTTCTGCTGGTGCTGCGCCAGCTGAGACTGAGGGTAGCAGGACGCTAGAGAGTTCACAAACTGGTAGGAAGACATGGCGAAACTTTCGGGGTCCATCTTGGAATCGCTCAGTTTCCCGGTATTCACAAAGTCAATGTCTTGGGTGTTCACTTGTTTGAGAGCTTGGCTGAAAGCACTGTGGACATCAAAGTGATTGGTCCATGATCTCAAGTCTTAGAGTCCTTTCACAAGCGATATACTGTCTTGATCTACAATTTGAACATAAGAATTGAAATCTATGCAAGGGTCAATCCTCGGTTGGGATCCGATTGAGGCCATTGGCCCAGCGTGAAATGACCAAAATGCATCGAAATGATCAAAATCCCTTCTGGGGGTCCTCGGCAATTTACACTTTTCTCCCCACAGTCGCATGAATAATGGCAAAAGAGAGCATCTCTGCGACTTGCATTGCATGAGCCCGCGAGACCATCTTGAGACACCATTGAACCGCCACTTTTTGCTCATTCTTGTTCTTTCTCATTTTTTCGCCAGTTCATTCGCTAAATTGCCTTGTTGCTCCCTTTTCATCCTGCATCGCGATTCAACCGAAAATCGCTGAAGGGCTAAATTGCCCATTGGTTCGAAATTATACGTTCACATGTGGATGACCTTTTTTGCCTTGTTTCCCGGACCCGCGAGAGATTGCAGGGCTCCGGCGCGACTTTCTTCGGCAAGAGCAACTTTTCATGCATCTCTCGCGAAATGAGAGCGCTTGCTGGGAAAATAACTCTGGCGATAGTATCGCCAGAGTGGTGAGAGGTGGCCCATGGAGTGTAATTCCTTTAATGGCTCTATTTTGAGATTGGCCACGATTGAGCCAACGGAGACGCAATCATCAAATAGAGACATTAAGCAACCACATTTCGCGGTGAAAATTGTCGATCTCGTAAAGTGTTTCACCTCGAATATGCAGATGCATTTTGGGCAACTACCCGCCGGTGGAGTTGAAATTGCAAAGTTGCGCGCGCTTCCTGAACGAGCTCCGCGTAGATGATGGTATATGCGAGAAACAGACATGAGAGATCAATTTAATTTGCACCACAGAGAGGCTCTCATCCACCCTGCAATTTGGCCCTCTTCTCCGGGAATCACGTTCCAACCGCCGATGGTCGATACTCCACCGTCACTTTCCCATTCTCACATACTTAATCACAACTTGTAATCATATCAATTTGTCAGTTAATCAAGAAATCATTAATCAATCGTGGCTGCAAGAAGTTCTCGAGGTATGGCTCCAATTGAAATGGTGTTTGTAAACAAGAAGGTAATTGTTTAGAAGTGTTTCCTCAACAATGCCCACGATCTACGAGGTGGCAACAATTCTTTTTATGGATATTTAATAGGCCTACTTCTTCGCCAACCCCTCAATTCACACTTGAGATTGCTCTATTGTCGGGGCTCAGTGCTCGGGACCCCGGAGGGCTCATGAATTTATGACTTTCTCCCGAAAATTTTTCGTCTACCGCGCGATGATTTATGCGACCAGAACTGGAGATAATTGTGGATTTCTTTCAATTACGCCAGTGGTGGCGCGAATAGCCCGCGAAGGGGCTTGCCAAGTGAGGAAGAAGGTACACATCTATAATTAAAGTGGACACAAGCATGAGGTCGATGTAATCTAATAAAATTACACACTTAGAACATGATCAAGAAGTCACAAGGAGAAAATTGGCACATAAATCATGAGTTATTTTGATGTCTGCCTCGGTCCCCATTTACGAATTTTAATTTATTTCAATTGATCCGTGCATTTTGGCCACTCGACCGCCTCAGTGACCTCCATCGGGGTCTCCGAAGGGTCTGGAGGAACACTTCTGCTCAACTCTTCCGATCTACTTTTGCAATCTCTCAACCACTTGGTCACTGAAACTCACTGTATGGCCAAAACTCTTCACCGCAACTTCACGGATTTGGCAAAAAGTGTACAATAGTGTCGCAAGTCATCTGATGACACACAATTAATAGTGAGGAGATGTTGCGAATAAGTGTCTATTAATCACACCACGGCACGTCTTGGAAAATGAAACACTTGCACAAGATAGCGACGAGAGTCAAGACGACACTTTTTCGAGTGTGTTTTCTTTGAGCGCCAGTGTTTGACTACTTGAGCGTTATTTCAAATCGAAAATATCTTGTGCATGGTGCCTTTTTTGCCTCCGCGACGTGAGCGCGAGACGTGAGTAAGAAAAGCCGAAAAAGTCGGTATACGAATGCCCATACAATTGAGCCATTGCCGAGGAGCAAGTGAAACCATGTGATGGGCAGTGACTGTGGGGCAGAGTGAAATGCCACATTGGTGCCACCTAGAGCGACAGAGGTGGCGATATAGTGCTGTCTCGGCCGGGGGAAAAGAGAAGGCATTACGAGAAGGGAAGGCCTTCTCAGCGCGATTCGCACGGTAGCCAAGATGAGGCTCAGAGATGCTGATTATTCCAATAATGATCTGTATGTAAAATCTTTGATCCCGGGCTTAGGATCGGGGGTTGGAAAGGCCCGTGGAAAGGCGCAAGCTTCGGGGCGAAGCCTAGGTGGCAAGGTGGTAGTAATTGTTAGTCATTCTGGCTGTCACTTAAGCCATTAAGTCATATTGCCACTGTCTTCGCCATGTCCGATGCACAGGGACGATAAATTAAATGGCATTTCAGTGTTGTTTTGCCCCTTTTTTTCGCCAACGACGTGATAATGTCCATCGTGACAGATTTATGTGCGACCCGAGTAGGCAAATATGGTTAAAATTGTGCCATTCCCTGCCTTTGGTAGCCCACGGGATCGCATGTAGTTTCCGACCAAATTAAATATTCCACCAATTTATTTTTATGTTGGAGAATTATTCATTTGGGCCTCTAAAAATCAAAATAAATAATTTAAATAAGTATCACATAATTTATATCAGGGTTAGGCTCTCTCCTTTCGTCTTTCCAACGACGGCAGCGTGCTATTTCATCTCAGCTCGGCGATGCATCGAGCGGTCTTTCTCTATCCTACGCCTTTGGGTCGCAGAACGAAGAGTCTCTGGTCGATGTGCGCAAGTTAGAGGTTGGACTCAGTCACCCCGGAAAGGTGTACCTCAACTGCGGTCCCGCCTCTGCCATGTGCTCGCCGCGAATTCCTCGAGACTCTGAGGCCAGTCTTTAGATCAACATGAGAGTCGAGGCGAAGATGCTCAACGGATTCTCCCTCCCAGCATCTCGTATTCAAATTTATTCAAATTCCAAAATGATAGAAATTAATACTGGGGCTCCCTTGCGGAGGCATACCGGCTCGGTAAAAAAGCACCCAACATCGCGACTTCCAAGTAACTCGATAATAATGATGGTAGTCATCTAATGGATTTAAACTTGTGAACCGAGCGCCTTTATTAATTGCTGTCCACATTTGTGGAATTTTCTCAGAGACTCGCAAAAGGAGTCCACTGCTGATGTCTATCTGCCCTTGAGGGTGCTGCTTTGCATAAAACTGCGGGTGGCAATTTTTTCAGCTCTCGCTATGCGCCTTGTTCTTGCGAAGACCACAGTCGGTCCTTTGCCAAATTCAGGCCATTGAGCCAATTTGTTTCCTCACCAGGCAAATTTCTCTCTCAACTTTGCATCCCACGAGATGCCGCGCGTGTGTGACTTCCTATTGGGAGCGGCGAAGGTCCAACTGGGAAAAAAAGGCGAACCTCAAATTGCAATTTGTTACCTGCCTCGTTTGCACCCTTAAACCCCAGTTTCCCTAGTCACCAGCAGATGCCACAGTTCAGCTGCATCTCAGGGTGAGGAATTTTTAATTTGTTTCTGGAATTCCACAAGCCAGGCTGCCCCCAAAACCACCCCCAGGTCGGGAGGCTAAAGAACACAAGACAAATAAGAAAGTTGTAAACCTCTGGTTCAAATATTGTTTCGGGGGTGCTAACTTGAGGGTGATTCTGGCTGCCAGAGACTCAAATCATTTGTCATTCTGTCTCCACGACCGCTTCACAGCTGAGTTGACGTCCTTCGGAGGGAAAATTGCAACAGGACAATCAGACCATAATGCTTCCTGGCCAAAAAATGTGTGGATATTCAGAGAGGAGTCAATAAAAAATTATTAGGCCACTATTTAAAATCCACAGAAATGGTCCGACATCTCTTCACGAGTGAGCAGGGTGCTGAGGAATAGGCTTCTGGTGTGAGGCGACAGACAATTAATCACCCTTTTGGCTGCACAACCTTTTTTAATGTTTATTCGAATATAATTTGGTGAAATGGGTAATAGTGTACCGGAGAAATATCCAAATGGATTGATGAATGACTTTTCTCTCCGTGTGTCAATTACAACAAGACAAGTCTGACAAGAACAACTCCAGTGTGGCGGTTTACATAAAATATAATTGCTTTTTTCCCTGCCCTCCAGCTTCCTTCCTGTCTCCCTTGCTAATCTTTGTCCCCGGCTTCCGGACGCCCAGAACATTTTTTTTTCTCTCACGACTCCAAAAGCCACTCCCAACCCCCAGCAAAGTTGCATGAAATGCTGCCTCCTCGCCCAAACATATGGTGGAAAATTTCACTAATGTGAAGCGCGGAAAAGGCGCTGGAAGTGATTAAAAAGAGCTGCATGTACTTGGGGAAATTTTAATTAAAGCCATTGAAGGAACAAAGAAGTTATTATTTTGCTTTCATAATTACTTTTCCAGTTTTCATTGCACGCCAAATGACTGATGAGCACTTTTCATCGCTCTTGCTCAAATATCATAGAGCTTCCATTCATGGCGTTGAATGTTTCCGTGGAAAAACTTTTTGCCTCAGCTTTTTAATCACTCTGGCCAAATTGAATTTTCCCGCCATTTGGCGGGGAAAAGACGGTGAAAAATATTGGAATTTGATGTAAAGTAGCCGGATGGTTAAAGAAATTCGAATGAATCCTATTTAAGTCTCTGTGGCGAAATTTAGAGAAAGATTATCCGAGAGTTAGAGTTGATAGTTTCATGAAAAATAAAATTCTGGAAACCATATGTGTCCGAATTCAGAACAAATAAACTAAATATTATCGATATCTCTTAACAAATGATGCCATTTTCCTAAAAAATAGACTATTTTTTTATCAGAGTAGATATTAAGTTCACATTGCTCTGCAATCCCTAAATGAAGAATTAGAAAAACTTTGTGTAAACCTATGCAGAAAGGATGGCAGTGAAATTTTCGTTTGATACAATTTCTTGCGCCACTTCTTAGCCTTTGAGGGCATAGAAATGTGAGATGAATTGGATTTATCTGTCGCTGAGGCAGATTTATTGGTATCAACATGAGAAAATTCTCATATAAATTAGTCAAAGTGAGAGGCTGATGGTGGCTCGTAAACAAATTTGAAATTCCATAAATCCACCACGTTTGCCGGCCATTAGCATAAAATCATCGTTTATGATGCAAGGATTAATTAGGTATTGGTCCCATAAATTAAATCTCCATGTCCGCACACTATTATGAGCGATGCTCCTCTCGGAGCACTCATTTCCTCTGCGTGCCCTTGTGCTCCACTGGTGATGGGGCCCCGAAGACTGAGAAAAAAGACCACGACTTTGCGCACATTTAATCTGGTTGTGCCTCCGTTGCTTCAATTCATCTCCCAAGAGCGTACAAGAATCGGAGTGAGATTATTCCACGGAGCTTCGGAGCGTCTTCCGTGGCAGAAATGAACACCGAAAGCCAATATGTTATCTCTCGGTGGTCATAAATAAAAGTCTGGGCCGCTCAGGAGGCGAGCGAGCCACATCACAGGTAGATATGGGTGCTTTAATGTGGCGCAAGATCACAAAATTCGCAGCGTCATTTCCATTCTCGGAGCAGGAGACTCTCGTCCCAGGAAGCTCATCAAAGGCCCAAGTTTTCCGCTCAACTCAAACATCCATTACGCTAAATTGACTCACTTCCATGCCTTCACTTTGGCAGCCAAACGACTTGTGGGGATTTTTCTCAACTCTCCCATGACAATAATGACGCGAAAATCTAATGCATCCCAACTAGAAGTTCAATGGAAGTTTGCCTCATCGAAATTTCCCTCAAACTTGCTCCTTGTCTTGCCGAGATTTATACACTGTAAGAAATCACAGCTTATCCGCAACATCTTGGGAGCATTATTTAATCCAAACTCTGAGCTTACACACATATATGCGAACTGTATATGGATTTCGTGACTATGCGGCCAGATAAATCCAAAAGGACGTCACAATGAGGTCTTTTGTTGTTTCCATTCCACCCCGCAAAGTAAACAGTTCGGAACAAAAGTCAAGTTCACAGATGATGATCGCCATGTTCGGCAGAACACTCGCCAGATATCCCATATCATTGATCCCATTGACGTTCCCTCGTTCCGAAGCAACCCCTGCCAAGTGCCAGCTGCAGTCTTTTGTTATTTTCGCACACACTTTCCGTGAGGGACGAACTTCATTTTCTCTTGCGCTGCATTTTTGGGGCATTTCCTAAATTTATTAGTCTTTTGATTCGGCTTTATCTTAAATTCAACTAAGTACATTATAGCTTCAGATATAAATATTTAGAATACACACTTAAGCCTAGTTATTTGATTAGGAGTTTGCTGGTGGGGTTGAATCACGATGGGTAGTGGAGGTTGTTTTGGGGATTAGCCGGGGTTTGTGGGGGATTGAGATCAGAGCAGAAGTTGTAGGTCGAGTTGGTCAGCATTTGGTTGAAGTGAGCGCCCGCCATGGGATCCTCCAAGCCCAGCAGTGGACTATCCGGAGATCTGTGATCCTTCTTAGCCTTCATGCGACGATTCTGGAACCATATCTTAATTTGCCTCTCAGTCAAGCTGAGAGCGTGGGCGATCTCGATTCGTCTCCTGCGCGTCAAGTACTTGTTGAAGTGGAACTCCTTCTCCAGCTCCAGTGTTTGGTATCTCGTGTAGGTTTGTCGAGTCCTCTTCGGATTATTCTTTCCATCTGTGCGAGAGAAGAGAGAATATGGGATTAGCTCATGACTGGGGGTTATTGGCTAAGCGCTTGGATTTACCTGAGTGAATCCACGAATAAGGTGGCATCAAGTTTGGGGATGACTGTGCACGTTTTTCGCCTTGATTGACAGGTCCGGCCTCTTTGGGCGACAATGGCGGAGTTCCGATCCCTTCCACAAATCCATCACTGGGACTCGTTTGCGGCATCACGATTGTTTGCTCAGGATACTGTGTGGTGGACTCAAATCCCTCTTTCGCGAGTCCATGACTTTGCATCTTTGCTCGGTACGCATCCATCAAATCCAGGCTGTCTTCGGTCCGATTGGGCGAGAGAATGGTGGAAGGATAGATGGGTTGGGTGTTCATCCTCTGGCCCGAGTGAGTTGAGGGCGTCTGATAGTACTGGTAAGGATCATCGAAGGTCTTTGGCTGGCCATAGTCTCCAGCGTGTGAAGATGAAACATTGGATGCGCTTCGGAAAGGCGAGTAGAAGTAGTTTTGCGTGTTTTTGATCTTCGTTTGGGGTCTCATCAGCAGAGCCCTGAGGGCAGGGGAGTCATTCCCGGCCTTCGGAATCTCTTCAGGAACTTTATCCTTCTGACTAGTGGCTCCCTGAGGGGCACAGCTGAATTCCTGGGGTTTCTCACTTGTTGGGGAGAACGTGGTCCTATTCATGGGCAAATGTGGATGATTGAGATGATGTCGATTCGTGGTCAATTCCTCACTCTGTTGATCGCAACTCCCGTAAAATTGACTCCATCCATCGGCACTGTATTGACTTGATTGCACATGATTATAGCCATACTGATTGCCCAAGTAATTGACCCCATATTGAGGGTAGGTGTTGTAGTAAGCATCAGAGAGTTGCTCAGTGGTTGCCATTATTGGAGCGTATCGGGGTATCACTTCATTATCTCAAGGTGCACTAACTCAACACTTGGACCTCGCTCGGGCCTTGTCATGCACTTCTGGTCGCGACGAACTATCACTGCAGAGTGACTTTTGGGCATTGGCTGTGTGTGATTGCTGGCATTGAAATTCGTGTGCCAAAAACTCCTCACCCCCGGCTGCACTCGGGTCTTCCCCTTCCCTCGAATTCCCATTTGACACTCTCCGACGTCATAAATTGTCCCATGACCCCGGAGGGATGAAGAAAGAGGGATTTTTTTGCCTCCTCTCTTTCACATTATTGCTCACATTGTAGCCAAAAGATTCCTCAATGAATTGGCAGAGCGCGTGGAAAATAATCAAGCATTTTATCTATTTGCTCAGAGCACAGAAAGGGTGAAAAGTGCGGCTCCTTTTCCGTGGTGGATTCAAAGAGAAGGAAAGTCTCCATTTGGCTTGGGAAAGTCTCTATAATCATCTGTAAATCCACCCCCTGAAATTGACGCTGAGGTGGGAATAGAAATATTTGTGATTTTTCCACATTTTTCGAGGGGACTTATGCACAAAAATCAGGCAACTGGAAATACATAGAGAGGGTGAGACAGGGTGCACCAGCGGAACCAATTATAATATTCAATATTCACAATTATAATCTTTCACATGAATTTGATTATGATAGTTGTTCTGTAGAAGATGGTAAGTTTTCAATGAATTTTCTGCATTCAAACGACAATTACATATTATGGCGATGAAACACCCTGTGAGGGTGAACACTGCGAGAGTCCCCGAATGCACCCTAGATACATAAATTTCTAGAATGCGTGTATTTGCATGTATTTGTGACATATTGAGATGTAACGATAAGTGACTTGTGCGAAATTTATGTGAAACCAAAGATTCGACAGCCAATCGCGTTAATGCACCCCTTGGCGTGTTCTCCGGAACAGAGCCCTAGGCAGCCTTGGCGCGTCTCCTTGCAGATTCGTTCCAATGATGATGTTCTGGAGTAAATATTGAGGCTCGGCTTCACACCATAATTCTCTATGTCCATAAACACCCAATTATGCCTCTCTTCTATGCACCTTCAGGGGGTCTTCGCGGGAACGAGTCCTAGAGTCCGGCGAGACAAGGACACCCATTATGGAGTCACGCTTTCTGCACGCGGGACGAAAGTGTTAAGACACCATCCCAAGGCTTGACGTTGAGTTGTTTTGATGGCACACTGGCCAGACTTGTGTGGGGCCCATGAGAAAAAATTGCAAGACCTGTTGGAGTTGTCTCGAAAATTGACAAGCTGGACCTCCTGCAATCGACAATATTAATGAACGATATCGTAGATTGTGCCTTCATTTGTGTGGCATTTCTCGAATTCCATCAAAGTGACGCGCACCGTCAGCAGTATCGTGCCTCGCTCTGTCCAACAGATATCTTCCTCTGGTGTGTCTTGCTTAATGGACTTCCATCCAAAACATGATACATTTGACACACGTTCATCAATTACGTGCGCGATCGTGAGTCAGCTGGTTTGGGTCCCCTTTTTGCACTCCTCCGCGCAATATCGATCTGTGTGTCCATCTAATTGGAAAATTGTCTCCTTGTTTGCCAAATTTTCGCATATGGCCCAAATGGCAAAATATTTGCTCAAATTGTCGCTCTCCGATTTCTCATTCAATGGCCTCATCCTTCCGCCTCTTGATGGCTTTACAGTCGCAAATGACACTCAACCACCCTCGATTTTTCGTCCCAGGAGGAAATTCAATTAACTCAGTCAGCCAATCTCTTTGGGAAATTGTACAATTTCGAGGCATTGTAGGTTTTATTTGTGTGTGGGTGTCTTTTGAAAGCGAGACATGTTGCCCAACCATCAGCTTCTTCAACAGCATCACTTCTTTGCCATTTCTTTGTCCAAACATGGTCATTGTTGGGAGGCGAGCATCGAGAGTCAATTAGAAGAACTTCGTGACATAGGTAGGCACAGTGAGATTAAGAGTTTTGGGCTGTGAAAGAAGATTGTGCAAAAATTCATTTAGACATGAAGAGTTAAAAAAAAACTATTCTTCGCCTCAAATACGGGTTTTAGAGTCGATTCAATTGACTCATACATTATCATCATTGTCAGATATACTTCTCGTAATTATGAATGTATTCTCTTTTATATGATTTTTTTATACATTTCACATCACTTTCAATGTATACATTATGAATTTATCTATTGATCTGTACACAAAACTAGTTCCAGCAGCGATTTTATTGCTTATTTATTTATAAACAATTGAGAAGTGTAAATAATAAATACTCAGGTCCAGTCCATTAACCTTCTTCACAACTGGCATTTAAAAGACCCTACGACACAAAAAGGTGTGTATCTTTCTCTGTCTGAGGTTCATCTCTTGCATCATTCATCTGCGATCCTCAGCCAGTACCGAGATTGTCACTATCAGCCTCTCGGTGTGAAGGTAAGAAGCTGTTAATTATCTTTCCGGGTCATCTGACACCATTTCTTCTGTCGCTGCCACTCAAAGGCGAACACGAGCCGAGATGAAAAGCTGAAGACTCTCCGGTGAAGCTCCCTGAGAATGCAAAAGGCGCCAATTTCTTCAAGTGGCGATAATTGCCTCCCTCCTGAGGCCTCTCCCGCGTGAGAAATCTGATTGAAAGAGCACTTCATTTGAAGCGGCTTTATCGTGTTGGCGTGCGATATCCCGAAAAGCTCCGCTGAATCGAACATAAACAAGACGGAGTTAAATATCGATCGGCTTCAGATGGTTTTGACTGAACGGTGCCTCTTTTGTGTGAGTTTTGCATCAATCATTAATTATATGCGTCGTGTATTGAAATCAATTTGAGGTCATTTTTCATGGCACCGACAGAGAGAGAGACTCTTGTGAGATATTTTCAACCTTTCTCACTTCCTCATCCATTCATTGCTCCCGTCCTTCTACACCCAAATCCTACACCCATACTTTGGCCTGCAATATTTGTGAATTATTGGGATTTTGTGGAAATGTTAAGTTATTGCTTTTGGCTGGTTTTTTTTCTCTCACTCTGGGCAACGCAGTGATTTTGAGGGGTGACAAACGGGTCTCTAAAGCATAAGTAAATAGTACACAACTTCCCAAATTTCTGCATCATTTTTTATTTATTAACCATCAAAAGAGAGGCTTTGCCAGGGAATTAGACCGTTAAATTTGTCAAATTAGCTCACCCTTCCGCTGACGAGCACGTCGCGCTAAATTTGAGGCACTTTTAGGTGAAAATTGCCACTGAGTCAATAGAAATTTCACGGAAAATTTGACGATTCGCATTTGGCTGCACTCAATTAGATTGACATGCTGTTGACTACCTAAAAAAAAACACACACACATCCTCTTCACGAGAAGTTCCTGTCCCGGAGGCTCACCTGAGGAGCCGGCACACGAGACGGTATCCTTGAGAAAGGACCTTCTACGGTGTTGCCAATAAAAATTTTTACTGTTTAATTATTACAATAAAACTTTACAGTTTTGGGAGGTTGTCGCTCGCATGGCTGGAGATTCTCCGTAAAATTGTCGCTGTCTTCGAGGCAATTTTTCAACAGAAAATTCCACCCAGTAGATTTTCAAAGAGTGAGAAAAATGCCTGAGAAGAAATTCATCATAAATGAACAGTTAAGTGCCTGCCGGTCTTACGGGTAAACATATCTCTTCGGCTACTTTAAAGTTTTATTGGGGTGAAGAGGCAATAATTGTAAAAGCATAAACAAACATGAGAAGGAACTGATGCCGTTCTATGCACTTCTGTGGAGGCAATGAAGATCCAGGGTGATTTTTTGAAGGAATTCTTTGGGGGTGTTTCAGTGAAAGTTTGCCATTTTTCTAGAATAAGTAAGAACAATTCTATTCCTGGTCAATATTGTTTATTTATCTCACGATTTGGTACAATATTGGCATGTTATATTGAGGAATCAGTCACACTCCTCTCTTGGCCTTCGATGGCTCACCTCCTGGGTCAGTTAATGGTCAACTCATCGTCACAGCAGTGGCTCAATAAAGCCATCTGCTCGAAAGGACACACGAACTGCCACACGAACGCGCTTCGCGGGAAGATTTTCGTCAGGATTTCCTTCTTGACTGATTTCATGCCGCCCAAGAAGTGAATGGCGGCTGAAGAGCGTCTCATGGTTGCCCTCCAGTCGCCCCAGGTCTCCCCTCTGCTCCTGAAATAATGTTTGATTGCGCGACTGCCGTGGAACATTGAGATTACATGGGCCGTGCAATATTTGCTTGGGCAGCATTGAACAACATCTTGAAGGCAGTTGAGGAAAAAAGGCAGGCTAGAATATGGAGTGAATGAAAATAATTCTTGTCTGTCGGGCTGCGGAAAAAAAATCCCCGCCGCAGAGATTCTAGATAAGATTTGAAAGTCAGGAGCGAAGGGCCATCTGGTTGCCGGTCGATATTCCCTGCTCGGGCGCCACCTTCACTCCAGTTGCCAGACTCTGCACTCAATTGGATTCCAATTGGCAGAAGACCGCGAAGAATTCCAGTTTGGGTGATCGAAAATCGTCCCAATTGTGCCACAACAAACCGCCCAAGCGGCGGCCCATTAGGAGACACGAGGAGGGCGGCAAGGAGGAGCCGCGAAGATGCACAAAATGCTAGTTGAGAGATAAATGATGTGCAAATAACCATTTATATCTACACATTCATAATATTCAATTATCCCTATTATAAAATCATTAATTTTCTCTCTCTCTCGCCAACCACCGAAAAGACCGAAAATTTTAAATGTTATCATTAATCAAGAGTGCACTGGATGGCGACCTCTATCCAGACGCTCTCGAAGGCGCAAACCATGCGAAGTCTCTGCTTCTCATGCTCTTCGCCGCGCGCGAGCATAAAACAGGGATGGGCCACCTTTCGTTGCTCTTCCTCTTTGTGGAATTTTGTACACACAGAGAATTTAGCTCTAGAAAAATGCTACTGAATTCAAACGAATTGTTGTGTTTCTCTCAA